CTTAAAAGAAAGAAAACATCTCAAAGTCTTGACAATATACATATTGAAATGGAAGAAGAAAGAATAATAATAATAATAATAAACGAAATAAACAATTACCTTATCAACTATTATTATTATTATTACCAATCGATTAGTGTATAATCAATAATTTTATTTACAATACAGACTATATACAAACATATATCTACAAATGACCAATCTGTCTGAATGAAAAGTAGGAAATACGGAAACCGATTGTGGACAGGACTAGGCATACATTTCATTCATTCATTCATTCATTTATTCATTCACTATATGATGAGAATTGTTAGACATCAAAACTGTCATGAATAATAAATTATCCATAATTTATTCATTTAGTCAACAGATACTGTTAATCGTTTTTAAAGGGGAACAAAGAAATATATATATTTTTTTTTCAAAAAAAAGAGCCAAAACAGGTAATGCTTTATTGGAAAGTGATCATTCTCTTCATATAAATAAAGATGGGGAATTTCGAAGAAATAGACTTCAACAAAATAGCATATATATATATATATATATATACATTATGTATCATAAGTTCGACTATTAAAACTATAACATGTAGTCAAGGATACTTGTCAAAAGAAACGAAATTATAAAGTATATATTGCCCTCTAAACATACAATGATATAATTTAGACTATGCATAAGATGGTAGTGATGATGGTGGTGGTGGTGGGGGGAATGACAAAAAGAAAATAAACTATTTCTATACAGAATGTATATAATTGAAATAAAAATACCAAAATTGATTAATGATTAAACTAATGGCTTGTAATAAAAAGTCGAAGAAAAACAAGAAAAAAAAAGGGAAAAGAAAAGAAAAGAAAAGAGAAAAGAGGAAAAAAGAATTAAATATAATAAAACCTTTTAACATATTTTTACATTTATATATAATAAAAAGAAAAAGAATGAAAATTTCATTTCCTTCATGATTGGATACCGATAAAGTATCTTTCAAAATTTCACTGACAACTTGTATTTCATTTAAACAACTAACATATTTTTATTTCCTGTTCATAAACTTATTTATTTATTAACTATCTTTATATTGATTCAGATTTTAAGAAGTTTGTTTCATTTACCTGATTAATAGTTTAATATGTTAGATTTAGTCTAATAATATTAATCATTAACAATTCCCTACTCTCAAATTGGAAGTATATATATATATATATATATATATATATATATATATATATATATATATATATATATATATATATATTGTAATAATTCAAGGCATTACATTGCTTCACTAAGCTTGATGATATTAATCACCTATATTAGTTATTGAATTGAAGCTTAGAATGAAATGAGATGAAAACCTATTATAAATAAAACTCCTTGTTTTAGACAGAAAAACAAATAATATACCATTGGATAATGGGAAACCAGGAAACAAGGCCAACTATAGTTACAAAATTCGTAGATGTACTTAGAATGAATAGTGGTTGTTAAATTTTGTAGTCTTAAAAGATTAATAACAATTATTTTTCCTCATTGAATGTGTTATACAGTTGAAAATATGAGATATAATTTATGTAGTAATATTTTGACAAAGAAATATTTAACAACACTCTATAGATCCCTATTCATATACTATATTCCTGTTTTCATAACCATTGTTTCCTTGATGAAGTATTCATAAAATTATGGTGAATTTTTCCTAGCTATTTCCACGATCATAAAACTAATTTATTGACTCAAAGATAGTACTATTTGCTATTAACCCTATTTTACATAAAATATGCTTTCTTCATACTGAGTGTAAAACATTACTTTAGAAATGTTTTGTACCAGTCGCTAGTTTTACGGTAGAAAATGAAGTAGACGAGTGCGTTGAAAGATCTACTTGTCTTTGAATTCTTGGTGGGTTGATGGGTGAGCTAATCTAAGTACAGGTACAAAATGCTTTTTCACCTTTCAACATCTTACATTGCTTAAGAAACAGATAAGATATCCGTCTGGTAACAGTCTAATCTGTATGACTAAGAATGTGAAACGTCCTGTCTAAAAATAGAAAGTATGGAAGTGGACTGTAGATATTCGTGGAATCACGAAGTTATCTCCAAGTTAAGGGTTGGATACCTGGAAAAACAAATTCGACTGATGAAACCCTAAACGTTCACCATATGAGGTGTTTGAAGTAAGCATCACGCATCTCTAGCCAGCTCCTAATCCGGTGAGTAATACTGGTTGGAGTTGAAATATATTAGAAGTATGCTAAAGTTTGTTAAACGAAAAAACAGACTTAGACTATGGAGTGTCCGGAAATGCAGATTTCTTAGCCTGGACCAAATGTATGATTTTAATTCTAATTTTACGACGTCTACTAATGAAAACCCTCTAAATGGAATTGTTGTATCTGGAGTCAGTAGATAGTGTCACTATCTCGGAGATACTAAACTTTTACAGAACAATTTACCGAACACCAAGGATAAAAGTTCATTATCACAGAATATTGTCAGTTGTTATTAGGACTTTGTAAAATGCAATATATATCTCTCCTAGTTCCCGTGGGAGTCTAGCCAAATTATTTAAGAAAACCTACTGACATCAGGTTACTCTTTGCCCATAATCTACAGCAGGAGAATTAATGCTTCATTCAACAATTTTCTTCGCTGAATTCTCTTTTTCTTATTAAAAGGAATCTTATTAACATAGATGGGATTCCTGAAATGTAGTTTTATTGTGTTACTGCAACAAAAGGTTTCATACCGTGATGTTCATGGAAAATATATGTGCAAAAGGTAAACCCATTTCTAAATAAGTGTTTACAGGTTATACACGTAAACTAATTGAAGTATATAGCTAAATCAGCGGTAATGACAAAAATGATCGGACACGCTCAGAAACATGGGAATAATTTTGAAACACCTCATATAAATTACCTAACACAGAAATTGTGTATAAACCAGACAAAACATTATGTTTTCGGTTTTTAAAGTGATCAACAGTAAAACAACATAAAAGACTTAAAAATGGCAATAATATAGAACAATGAATGACTAGAAGAACATTGGTAGATGATAGAAAACTTGCTAAGATAGATAAATACAATTCTCCGTAAGTTACTTTTTTCAAATAGACAAACATCATTATGGCTTAAAAAAGATTTTAATTTAACAAGAAACTAATTTTTTTCTTTTCCGAAAGGATATAACTTTGAAAACCGAAAATTAAGCGACTTATTTGATGAAAAAAGGAGTGAAAATGTTTTGAACTGGAAGAGTGGATAAAGTTAATTTCAAGCATTCAATCTAAATCCAGTCGCCTTGCAATTAAAATAGATCATAAGCTTCTTACCGACAACTTCAACGTGTGCAAAACAAACTATAGTTAAACTAGTGAAATTGCGAACCAGGAATAACACAGCAAATCACATCAGTTTTAATATTTCTGTGAAAGCCATTTAAGCCTATCACGATAGTTCATGTGAAACAGAACTACTAATAATCGTTTAAAATGGTCGGATAAAATAATTCCAAGAAGTAAAGTAATTAGATCAAAATATCTTAGCAACAAGTTTATGATTTACTCAATCACCATTTCATCTAGAGTTTATAGGAAAGTCACATTCTATATAAATGATAATTAAAACCAGATTTTGGAAGGATCTTAATAAGTACCAAAGAAACCATATGGTAAGTTGCGGTCAGTCTAAAATAACGATTTTAATTGATGAACAAACATCGTATATAAGAACGACCACTTATCCAAAATAATATAATCTCAAATTATCGGCATAACTGGAATTAATTTTCAGTATATTTGGTAGACACTTTACAGAAACAATGTGTGATTCACTGAAATAAAAATTAACGTCATTAGATACGGTAAGGTGTATGCACACTTAGCTAGCTAGCTACTTTACCACAACGAATTTTGTAAACATCTTGTCCCCCTATGTGTAAGTCCCAAACTTTGACAGTTGCATAAATTTCAGATTGTTGGTGGATAAGTAAATGATACATAAACACTGTTTAGTGACTAATTGATTTGATTTATGACAGTGTGATAAAAATGAAATCGAAATATATTGGACATAATCAAAGTAACTCGGTAAGACTATCAAAAAGCGCAACACTACAGAAGTTTGTATATTAACAGCATTGCTATTAAATATTCAACATGAAGAACATTGGAAAATTATAGTGAGGACTATCTACACGGGTACTTATGTGAAAATGTGTGAGAAAACCTATGAGACTTTTATAACTGTAAGCAAAAGCTAGTTAAGTTACTAAACGTATGTTATTTTACAAAAATACGTGTTAGATAAGTTTTTAACTTGTATCTTATGTAGATCGAAAAGCCATTTGTTAGTCCGGCTAGTTATTTAAATTAATTACTGATCTTTAGCATTACATGAAGACGCCTGGTTAGTGTTTGAGATTAATATTCACAAGCCTAATATTTAGAATCCATCAACAAAAGTTTATTCACAAATAAATAGAGCCAACAGCTTATGTAGCAGAAATTAAATCAACATGAAAACCGTAAAGATAGTATAAGACGGCCTTACACTCCGCCTTGTCGTACTTCAAATTACGAACAAACAAAGGGGTCAGCAAATGGTTTTGTGTGGAATGGTCAGCAGAATGATGAGATAATAAAAAGAGCAATTAAGTAGTGTGATGGTACATAATTTTAATTTACGGAACTAATACTACAAACGGTATGTGCCGAACTTACACGTAAATTCGTGACCACAAAAACTTTTCATCCAGAGTAAGAGTACGTTTTTGACGACTAATGATGAGTACTTGAATCATACTTGCATAATACACAAACTGAATTCCATTAAATTAGCCGGGTTTAACAAAATAATTTGAAATAATGGCTTTCAATAATTTTAGTAGTCAGTTCAACAGTAAGATGATGCTCAAAAAAATTTATTTAAACTCTATATAGTCGATTTATTACAGAAAACCATAAAAATTGAAAATTTGATAAAACTATAAACTTACTTGTGTTTCGCTCTCGATAACCAACCTAACTTTATCTTCTGTAAGATTTTCTGAAGATTTCTGCTGTTCTTCTTCTTCCCCTTCATCTTCATAAACTTTGACTTCATCAGTACAGGCTAAATTATCAGAAGCAGTGGAGCTTAACATAGTTTTTTTAATTCAAAGATTTAAATATAACTCCAAACTAATGTGAAATATGCAAGTATTTGATATGCATGACATTCAGTTAATTGAAAATGACATCATAAGTTGACTAGCTCTTAACGTCCCAACACGAGGGAACAACACTTTTGCGAGTAAAGCGGAATCTGCATAACCTTTTTCTAGGTTAGCAATAAGGTTGGTTCGTTCATTGATTCAAACAATGGCCAGTCAGACATGCTCAGTCATACGACTACAATGACCATTTTAATAGATAACCAAAAATATTTAGTAAAATTTAACTCATCAGCTTTTCTTTTTTTCGAAGAAACTGCTAACGTTGGTTCTAGTATCTAACAAATTTGCACAGGGCTAGCTTTCATATGGTTCGTATGGTTGTGAATGAAACAAAAACGTTTTTGCTCAACAGTATTCCGGTTCGATGGTGATAGATTACCTATTCATTCAGGTAAGGATTTAGGCACATGATTCAGAAGAGTTAAATGAGGCTTCGTCAAATCAATACGAGATGCTATTGCGAGTCTTCGAAGAATTATCAAGTTTCTTAACGAACGAGTCAAGTTAACAAATAAGCCTCTTTACAAACACATTTTAATGTTGAGGAGCAGTTTTAGATCTCTGCAAAAGTTCACTAATTTTAATATAGCTATTCAAATCGCATAATAACTGTGAATTTTATTCATTTGGAGTGCGTTTTATTAACATAGGTACGAACGATAATGCCCTGTAAGTAATCTTTCAACTAAGAAATAAATGGCCTCATGAGTAAATTTGTCAGCGGGACTTTATACTTCAATGTGTCAAATCCTATGCGGGATTGAGAAATATTCCATGTTTAAAGCCCGTGTAATGTCAACAAGCCGTAGCCAAATCAAGCTTCACAAAATTTAAGCCTCCAAAAGTTTCTGAGGCCAGAACTGATAATATTATTAATAATGACTTTATTCAATATTATATTTTAGTACAATATAGAATACTCGGTCAGTCAATATTTTACAACTACCTAAAGTTTCGTACTCAACGTTTATGGTGACAGTTCTAAATAAACCACTATCCTTCGTACTATAGCGATCGATTCACTTCAAATCTGTCATTGTTTGACTTACACTGATACTATAGACAACTTTGATGGTTTGAACGCGCTCAGTTACGCTTGACGGATAGCCGTAAGTACGCTACACTAAAGGACATGAAGAATATATCAATAGACAACAGAATCTTTCTTTGTGTTAGAAAACATTAGAATTATAATTACCTGGTGATTTACTCGTAAGCTGGCAAGATGTCTGTAACCCTTTCGAAGCCTCACTCCATCAACTTGTAGTTCCGATCATCAGACCATGGCAATCTTGCACTTGTATTGCTTCTGTCTGTTACTGATTGAGTGAATTACTAATTTTAAGTTCATTCCATGAACTTACTCAGTCATCGCCTCACTTCCCTTGCAGATCGCCATATACACTACTTCTCATGTATACCAGTATAAGACGTAACTTAAAGCTGGACCCAAACTTACCAAATGTTGAGCGTTACAAATCAATCTGTTCTATTCGGCATTATGATGGAAAGAGTTGTTCTTACTAGCGTTTTAATTAAGGCCAGGTAGCCTAAGTGTTTTTTAAAGCATCGTCAACCTACTACTTATCACTAGCAAGCTTAGCTATCCCCCTGACAAAACTAATCAGAGGGAGGAACTTATGTTGACATAAATAAATAACAGTCAGATCCCAGATTCAAAGTGACCTCAATAACCTATGGCAATCACTATTTAACAACGAGAAGTGTGGGATCATGAATTTTGGGGGAACGTTTTGAACGGTGTAATGTTCAATAGTCCGTTAAAATATCACGTGACAAATTTGCCAGTCATAGTGCTGACTCGGAATCTATGAAACATATTAGACCTGAGTGGATGAAAAAGACTATATTCAGGAAAGACGCTACCATACCCAAGTCATGAAGCGGCAAATTATCCGCACACAAAAGGAGTTACTCTGACACTGTCCAAAGAAGCACTTAAAGTACTTATAGGATGGGAATCTCATGAACTCCAGGATAATTAGAGCATCCTTCAAAACAAAGAATGAGGGGATCACAATGAACGTTATCCGATGTTATGCAACAGCCAGTGAAAGCAAAGAGGATGACAAAAATTAGTGTTGTGCGAGGGTGTGGTCGGTTATAGTGAAGTGCCCAGGAAAGGACTTGACAATCCTGATGGCAGATCTAAACGCCAAAGTCGAAATGAACACCATTGGGTTTGAAGATATTATGGGACGTTTAACTTATCGGTATTCAAGTAGAAATGGCAATAATTATCAGTTAAATATCGTTTTCACTAAATCACATGGACTAATGACACATAACCTTACATTTTCAATAACTGCATCTAGGTGCTGGCTGAGAATATATAGAAATAAAGTATAAAGATATCAATGGACGACATGGACTAGGAGAATGGTACAAAAACAGTGACAGACCTGCAAGTTGCTTATAGGTGGCATAATATTCTCATACAAACGCGTCCATAAAGCGATATGGAACTCACCGGATCACACTACACAGAACCAAACAGGTCATGTTTATATCAGTAAAAATTTCCGACAGACAGTGAAAGACGTGAGATGCAGATGCGAAGGCAAGTATTGTAAAAACAAGGGCAACATTCGCAACATCCGCTGCTCTAAGCAGCTGTCAACCAACTTCGAACTCAGAATCCACATCACGAACACCAAAAAAGTAAACACTAACACTCCTATCACTGTCACATTACCAGCGATAGAAGAAATCAGTAGGGCCATCAAACATGTGAAAAGCGAGAAAGAATCATGACCAGACAACATACGAGCTGAAGCACTAAAGTCAAATAAAGAAGCGATTGCAAATATGCATCACGTCCTATTCAGAAAGATTTGGGGGAAAGAACAACTGCCAATGGATCAGAAAGAAGGATACCTCATCAAGACACCAAAGAAATAAGATCTCAGCAAGTGTCAGAACTGTGAAGGTACCACACTACTATCACTACCAGGGAATATTTTCAACACTGTTGCAGAACCGAATGAAAGACTCATTAGATGCTCAACTTTAAGATCAAAAAGCTGGATTCCGTAACGACTGAACGCGACACTACGGATTATTGTTAAACAATTAATTGGATTGGATTCACCACTATACATCAAATTCTTTGACTATGAGAAAGCATTCAACAGTGTAGATAGGAGAAAATTATGAAAATCTGTTCGACGCTGGAGCCCCTGAGAAAATCATCAACATTCATACGACAGATTACAATACAAAGTGGTGCATCGAAGACAGCTGACAAACGCATTCCAAGTGAGGATCAGAGTCGGACAAGGCTGCTCTCACTCTCCCCTTCGCCTTCTTCCGATGATTGGCTGGACTACGAAAACCTCGACATCTGAGAGGAAGCACGGAATATACTGGACAGTTTGAATGCAACTAGACGATTTGTACTTTTCAGATGACCAAGCTATTCTGTCTCATGCATACCGACAAATGTAGATAAAGACAACTAGCGTAGCAGCAGCCTCTGCGTCAGTAGGTCTCAGCATACACAAGGAAAAACTGAAATTCTCAAGTAAAACATGGAGAACACCGACACTTAATCGAGAAAGTCAGGAAGCGATGGAAACTCTCACGTACCTGAACAGCGTCATCGTTGAACAAGGAGGACGTGGTGCGAACGTGAAGGAGAGGATTGGCAAAGTAGGGGCCGCATTCCTAAACTTGAAGAACATATAAAACTCAAAACAACTGTCAGGCAACATCAAAGTCACAATCTTCAGTGAGAACGTCATGACAGTTAGTTGAAACTTAAAAATCTACCACAACCATCATCAAAACCATACGAGAACTCCCAAGCAATTATCCAAGCAAGATATTCCTAATCCGTTGTCTACACCCCATCAGCAACAGCCTAACTTGGGAGAGAAAAAACCGACTTCGAGCTGAGGAGGGAATAAGGAGATATATTGGGGGCGGATAGGACATACATTACGGAAATTATCAAACTGCATTACGAGGCATGCCATAACTTGGAATCCTGAAGCGGATTGGAAAAGAGGAAGACCAGAATACACACTGAGCCGAGAATCGGAATCAGATACCAAAAGAATGAATATCAACTGGAAACAATTGTAAAGATTGTTGGGAAATGGTTGGCGAATGCTGGTGAGCGATCTATGCTCCTTCACAAAGGGTAACAAGAGTAAGTAAGCATGTAAGTAGGACTCGTCTTATTCATTCATATTGGTTGATCACCAATCAATCCCTATCATCTACATGACTACATGACATTTGACCATTTTCATATAATTTATACCATTATTTAAATTCTTAGTAGTGTTAGTTACCTGATTAATATTTAACCCAAAATACAGAAGCATCAGTTCTTTGATTTACCTGTAACCTGGAAATAGCAGAGATAGTGTATTCCAACAAGGTGTGCAACATGAAGCTTAGAGTGAAGCAACATATAATCATAACACAGACGTAAGAAAGCCTAGCATCACATAAAGTGGAGGTTAGCGTTCCTGACCAGAAAACACGATAGTGGGTAGATAAACTGAATTCACGCATATCTGTAAGGCAGAACATTCTGTTAACATAGGGCTCCTTATGGTTTAATGGGATGTCAGTAATCAGTGGTATTGATTTTAATTTATTATGCCAGCTTTCTCTTTGAATTGTGTTTGTAAACTCTAGTTGGTTTTACCTCCTGACGAAAAATCCTGTCTCAAGCTGAACTGAACAATTACATCAAATAGAAGTCTACACATAACTCTATAGAAACTGGAATAATATTGGCCATAAGATAAAGCCATTTGATAATCCAAACACTCTTCCTTACTATATTTTAGTAATATACACAACCTTAAACTTCCAGCTCTTTTGAATCCCCTACGCCTATACAGTTCTTTGTCCGTTCATTGCCATACTCTTAACTTGTTTACTTTAACCTGCTTGCTTAAGAAATGATCTAATAAAAGGTAATAAGTCTAAGTAGTTATATATAAACGTTTAATCATAAATGACTAATTTGCTTCTCTTTTCCTCTCCATTTTTCAGCACTCCCGTGATATACCGCTGAAAACACACATTTGAGACGTATTCTTTGTCCAACACCTTTGTTCAAACATCCAATATTTGGGAACGCTATCAAGACTCACAAAATAATATATCAATGTGGACCTATTTAACTGACTGGTTATATATTCATCGCATTACTTCATATTATAAACAGCTCTGGACTTAACTTGCATTCATTATCACCACCAGTTTCTCGTCACAACTCAACATCCATAAAGAGCACGAGCTACTATATTGAACACTCGAGTCTTGCTAACATTCTAATTCAGATGTGCAAAAACTTATCACACTGTTTCTATGATCATTTTTGGCATACTCGAAACCCAATTTTAGAGACTTCACTAGACACGCCTGCAACGTAGATGACAGCCTCATTAAAGTTAGATTCTTCAGCCTTACTAAAGTAATCGGATCATTCGAGAACGTGAGATCAGCAGCTTCATGAAGAAATAGTCGGAAAACATTACGCTTAGAATTCATAAACGAAAAAAACCTATCTGACAACTCAATCCCGGCCCTTCCAAAAAAGCATAACGCCGCCATACATTTCTATTTTCCTAACAAAAATAAGTTCAAATGTCCTACTGACAATAACCGCATAAATTTTAAAGGTTTGAACACATCAGCTTTAAAGGACGATCCACAGCAGGTGAACTGGAAAGCTTATACTCAGCTTGATTTTGACATTCTCTGGGATTCCTTGCTGCACACGATCTTATGTGATACAAACCAGTCTGTTCCAAAAGTCACCAACGGTTAAAGCAGCTTATGATTATATAAGGTTTCACTCTTTGGATTCTAGGGCTTAAAAGGTAACAATAAATGGAATATAAAACGACGAGTAATAACATTTATAGGTACTTCACAAAAACAAGGATCCATTGCAAAAAAGTCCCACGAGGAGGCAGGTTTGTGCTTCATAAAAAATTAATCAAAGAATTAGTCTTTAATATGAAAAGTTTATTCCGTCATGCATTCTGTCTTTGATAAGCCAAAGCCAGGGTTTCCTCTTTCAATACCCTCAAAGGTTAAGAAATGTTTGATAAATAACAGCCTGCGCGATCGCTTTTTATCTACAAACATTTTCTGCCACAACAATCCGGTCTCAGGAAGAGCCAATATGGTGACTGCAATAGAAATATGGACAACCATTTTTAGGTGCATAAGGGAGGTACACATCATGTATTTCGACTTCTCAGAAGCTTATGACAAGGGCAATTTATAAGCTTAAGCTAATAGATATCAACTCATCATTATCAGACTGACTTATTCCGCATCTAAGTAATTAACTTTTTCAGGTCAGGACCAATTTTACTACCCACTACCTGTTGTCTCTCACCTACAGAGCCTGCAAACCATCAATCGTTTGGGATAGCACAAGACATCATCAACGCCACTTTAATGTGAGATCATTCTTGTTCATTTTTCATCAGTTTACCACGTTCACGAGCACTTTACAACCTACCTTTAAGCCTCATTATCCATTGCTTTATTTCTAACTATTATACTCCCACATTTCCCGCACACTTTGGCAAACATTTTACCGCCATTTTACCTTGTAGTGACATTTGGCCCTAATCACACAATCCTCAAATGTGAACGAGAGACACTTGAAAAAATAGATGTTCAACATTAAACGCGGAGAAAAACCGAAGGATGAGAAATGCGGGAACAATGAGTGGGAATTAATCGGAATTGATCGGTGGCATGGCTCGGCCACGCAGGCGTGGTCCTTGCTCAATCTCACCTTATATATTTTATTCATATGAAATATATTATTCTATCTCTAGCCTAAGCTTGTTCCCCATCATGTATTGGTAGTTGTTACGATGCAGTGAGTTGGTTTAGACGATGATATGACTTCCATGTAAGGTCGTATAGATTAGGCAGTTATATCATGACGAATCTACAATTTTAGGATTAGGTCTATTATTAGAGCAGTACTAATATCATAGTAGACCCATTAATTCAAAAATCTGCCTAATTAATCATACTTAACTTGGAAAACCGAAATTTATACTAAAGTCATTCAAAGCACTGCATTGATACCCTACCCACAGCCCATAACTTGTAACTGTCTGATAAGCTTGTAACACGATACATATAGAAGTGATGTTTTCCATTAGAATATGAAGCAGAGAGCAACAGGTAGGTCGTAATGCTTCATTGAGAAATAACTTTAAGAGACCCTAATGTCACAAGGAGAGAAAGAGTGGAGTTACTGACCAGCGGCCATTGATGGTGAGTGTAATGACTCCAGTCTACCCATGTTTGTGAGGAAAAATGTTTGTGTTATGGGCTTTTTACGGCTCAAAGCAAGGTAATCAGTCGGTGATTCTACGGTTGTTCTCCTACACTCGCTACTTAGACTCACATTTTCATTTTTATGCTGGTCATGCTATTCTACTTAGATAATCGAATTCAGGCCTCTATAGTATGACTTAACGGCTATTATTTGATGAAAAATGGGAATAGTAGAGGAAAACAATAGGCAATAAAAAATAAGAATATTGGGGTTTCCAAACACTTTCTGTCACGCTTTCGATTTTAATGAACAGCCTTCCTGATTTTAGCTCCAACTTTCCCTACATCATTTAAAGCCATTCCATCCTATTACACCTTACAATCTTTCGTTCTTTATCTACAGACTCTGTAGCCACAACTCATTATAGTAATAGCAACTAGAGTGAGTTTTGTCTAGTGATATACCATATATTCATTAGTTCCACCACGAACAATTAAGTGTTATTAAGGATTTAGATTTAAAACCCTCACTGATCCTTATTTCCTCTCTTCAGCATCACATTCTCAATGCACACCCATAGAGCTCATTTTTACGCCTGGAACAGACTTTGCTTAGGTATTTGCCAAGGTCACAGCTTACGCCGACTACCAATCACTAGTAACCTTATAACGACCAGAAATTTAATAAATAGCCACATTATATAAATACTTAGTAGCACCATAATTCTAATTCTGGACTAGACTAGTGTTCGCCAAAACAGCAACCTGAACGAGATGACGTTTCTGAATAGGTCATAAAAACCATAAACTCATAGTACAGCACTATCGCATTGACCCAATCGTTAACTCGCTTGTATATCTTCACGAATATTCTGCCGTTGATTTTCATTGATTTTATCTGTTTAATAATCCCACTTGAGTATTTCTTCCACAAACCAATGCTGTTTATTGTTGTTCGTGCCTTTAAGAATAGTGTGCACTTGCTGTGTCGGAAATATATTGTTATCATCGTTACTTTTTTCCGGATTACAGAATGTCCTAGCGTGATCCCCGGGGATCAGAACAGAGACATCCCTTTTGAATTCATATGAACGATCTTGCTCAGAAAGCATTGCCTAACTCATTAATTTTTGCATTGTGAACATTTGGAGAGATATTTACAACCGGGATGATAAGCTGGCACACCTAGAGGATCTGACTAGTCTTCAAAGACGGGCGAATAACAACAGACTCATTCCCAACACTTCAAAGTGTAAAGCATTTCATCTGAGACATGTTGCAGACTACGCATACAAATTAAGTAACCCGTCTCTAGAGGAATCTCAAGTTGAAGAAGATCTGATAGTGTTAATACCCAACGATCTAAAGTCTTGGGCTAATCGCTACAAAATGCCTTGCGAGTAAACCTTGCACGGGCTACGTTGAAGCTCATTATTGGCCAGTTCGACGGAAAAACTTTAAAAGTTTCACTCTGCCTTATTTAGAGTATGAAAACATGGCATTACCTCCCCCACTCCGAAGAGGAAGGAACACATTGGAACGTATCCAACGACGAGCCACAAAACCAGTTCGGGGACTCAAATTCAAGCCTTATGGAATGCAACCTAAATCACTGAAGCTTTACCCACTGGAGTATAGGCGTCTCATAGCTGACCTAATGGCCTACAGCATCCCAAACCCTTCCGGGAATCTCCATAAATACCTACTTAAACTCAGCCCCGAAACAAATTTTAGGGGTGAGATCCAAAAACTATGGACACAACATAACAGAACGGACTGTAGGCAAGCCTTCCGCTCCTCAAAAGCAGTCAAATGCCGGAATTTGTTGCCAGATGAGCTAGTTCAAGAGACTTCACAGGAATCTTTTAAGGGAAAGTTTGACTTATTTTTAAGGACTAATGACAGTATCTTACTATGATTTACCAACATTTTCGCTTTTTCTATTTTATCGTTAATATACATAGGTTCTTACCTAGACGCATCGGTGATCCATTGCCATCAGATATGAAAGCCCGTTAAGCGAACGCTTCTCCTATTCAGTCCTGAACTATTTGAACCATTTAATTATGGCGACTTTACTGAAGTATTGCGGTACTCTTACTAATGTCGTGCATTTGCATAACGCTGCTGCGTTCAGCTCCTCTGGAGTATATCCCATTTTTCTCATATTTGAATTAAAATAGAGGCGCAAAATGCCACTCCTTACGGGACCAGAACGCGACCAAATGCTTCCTCCTTTACTAAACATCCACCATTGGGAGTTGTGCCAACATGGTTCTAGAGAGGCCATACGACGCTCTTTTATGTTTAAAGACTTTGATGTAGCGTTCGACTTCATGAAAAAAATAGCAGAAAAATCCAAAGTTATGAATCACCATCCTGAGTGGTTTAATGTATATAATAAGGTATGTCACTTAACATTATCAGTCGATTCTCCAATATAAATTTCGTTTTTTAAAAATCTATGTCATGTTCAGTAGCAACTTCACTACAGTGGCCATAAAAACAGTAGTTTATATGGTATGGTCTGCGATTCATCAAAGCTCTCAACATTTATAAGATTTAGATTTAGGAAACTAAATTATGGTGAAAAACCAATCAAGTTTCAGATAGGCTCCTGGTATTTGAACGTGAAATTCACTTGTACTTTCGGCCACTTGGAGTCATTGTGCTAAGGCTGGTGTCAGCTTATGATGAAAATGTTTCAACTGTTTTGTTTTATCGATTCGGTATTGTGTAACATACATAATCCCCGTGTGACACCATGTAATGTGGAATAGCTGAATAAAACCATATAAGATTGCTTCAGTCAGAATATGGTAGCACTTGATATAAAAATTGGAAGTGACAGAGTACTGCGGAATGCAAATTTGAGCCACCTATAATTGATTCTAAGCATTTATTATAATCTAAGTTCAACCGAATGAACATTGGTGGGACAAAGTTCGATTCATCATTTCAAAGATCAGAACTAAATTTGAGATCTTGGCATAATACCATATAACAGGGTGCAGACTACTTTATCCAAATTTTAATTAAATGAGTGAGTCTAAATATCGTTGGTATAGTCTGTTCAGTCTCAATACCAAGTTTCCCTACAACTATCAAAAGAATTCTCAAAAAAATCTAAATGTTACTTAAGATTTAAGCACGCCAACTGTGAATTGTTTTTCGCATTTAGCTACTGCTTCTTACCTAGTATTGTATATGTTTTCATTGAACGCCTTGAAAAAGTTTAATCATGGCTCTACAATCGCAACTACATTCTTTTTGCCTTTTGTCTATCATTTGCACATCTGGCAGTCATGTAACTTAACAACTACATTTAGTTTCATGTCCGTTTTTCCGAAAATCTTTTAGTATCGGCTTTTGGTAGGCCATGTAATCGTTTTTCGTCAGGTCCTAGAACACAAATATACACCCATCTCCAAACCATGGTTGTGTTTGTCAACCTTGAGGCAGTGTTGGGTTCCGTGGATTGATAGTTTTTATAACTTTCATTAAAAGGCGTACCAAGGAAGTACAATAACCTTGTACAGGCACTCCACTCCAACACCAGTCGAGTTAAAGCTTATGGCAAACTATCGATAAAACCGATAACCTTAAATAGTGTTCATCAGGGTCATCAGCTCCTTTTATTTTGTTTGATAAATAACACTCATCGTTTGACATTTGAGCAATTGATCTCTTACCGGAGATTCACTTGCTGACTGATAAAGTGCAGTCTCTTGACCACCTTAAGTAAAGAAACAAGCATGATTGGGGTGAGCTTTTCTCCAAAATGCCAAATGTTACTTTGGAACTGGTATATGACAGTGCAATCCGCACTTAATCAGTTGGCAATCAATGTCCGTGGGTACGGTATGTGCTATGCACCTTCGAAGTGCAAAGTACTTCTACAAAACCGGCAGGATTCTAATCCTGTACTCACCCTGGATGGTGAGCAGATAGAGGTAGTCGTGAAGTTCGTGTATCTAGTTAGCTGCATAAGTGCTGGTGGTGGCGTGAATGATGAGATCAATGCACGTATAGTGAAAGCCAGAGCGGCTTATGCCAATTTGGGCCATCTTTGACGCCTTCGTGATGTCAATCTGGCTGTAAAAGGTCGGATTTACAACGCGTCGGTGAGAGCAGGTTTGCTCTATGCTTGTGAAACTTGGCTTCTTGGAGTTGAGGATGTTAGACGACTCTCTGTGTTTGATCATCGTTGTCTCCAAAGAATTGCTGATATCCAGTGGCAACACCATGTTAGTAATGCAGAGGTTCGGCATCGTGTGTTCGGGAACAAAGACAATAATCCACCTTGAAACACCGACTTCGGTGGCTTGGACATTTCTTCGAATGTCTTCCCAGAGAATTCCTCGTCGTGCATTATTTGCCGACTCTGGGACTGGCTGGCAAAAGCGGAGAGGTGGCCAGTGTATGACATGGTGTCGTGGTATGAAAGAAAGCTGCAAAGAGCTGGCTCGTGTTGGTCCTTCACGACTCCGTGGCTGGGGTCGTAGAGATGGTGCGACACAGTGGCTAGAGACGTTATCAGATATGTCTCAGAATAAAAACCAGTGGCGATCCTGCTGTAATCTTCTTTTACTTTCTTCATAAAAAGTGGTTGTATCTTCCTTAAATGAAAGGTTTCTTCTGGTTGCATCTTTCCGTTTCCCCTATTATTATTATTATTATTATTATTATTATTATTACACTACCTTACACTAATCTGGTCGTTATTGTTCTTTTTTCTTTTACGCTCCTTACCTTTTTTTCTCCCCATTCTCATTGTTTTGTGTAGCGCATATATATTTGGTGCCCTCTTGTACTAATATTTATGTGTTCAAATAAATATGTATAAGTGCTTGAACTAATGATATAAAGTGAAGTAGTTGAGCTCTTCGACTACTCCATTTGTCTCGAAAGTTTCATCATCCTTGGTTGGTTTGATGTCCGGTGAAATATTTACATGAATCTGGTTTGGTATTCGCGAGGTATCCACAGGCCAACTAAAGTACAAGTTCACTGCACAGCAGTTCTCTCCGTTCTACTTTATGGTTGTGAAGGTTGATCTTTTAAATAGGGTATTCGTAAGTTACAATTACTCGATTATACATACCTAAGGATTACTCTTATATGTTGGAACCATTGAGTTAGAAACTCTTAAGTTATTAGGTATTAGGTATAAATGGCAAATTAGTTAGCAAAGTAATGAGTCTTTATCAACTGAGATGACTGGGACATCTATTAGGTATGCCTATCTACCGCCCACACCAAAGCGCAATGGCGGCTGGTGTAAAAGTAGGTTGGAAAAAGCTAGGAGCGGTCAAGCAAGAAAATGGCACCAGTCCATGAAGTCAATTAACATTGTACTGAACAATATATGTAGACACAAAGTAGTTGGTTTGTGTCCGAATGTCTATCGTAGGCGATGGTCAGAGACCTTAGACGACATTTTTCAGAATCGCTCTCGATGGAGAAAATTAACTCACTTTGTCTTCCCTTAGATCTTAAATTTTAAACTACCTAGTCAACCTTTTTACTACATGAATCCGTATTTTGTATGCCCAACCTTTTCTGTTACCAATTATACTTTGACTATCTCTACTATTCTGGAATTCACATTGACAATCTCATCACGTCTTGCTAATGAGGTATTCCTACGTAAACTGGACATACATGTACTGGGTTTTACCTTGACTATGATTGTCTGGTTTCACTTATATCGGTGTCCCACTACGTTCTACAACAAAAATGACATTTATCGATCAGGTCATCACTAACATCCATTTGTGTTCTGTTAGATTAGAAGTTTCTATCAAAGCTAAAACAACTTGTAAAGGGTAAAGCTCTTTTATAAGTATCAACATCAAGGTTTGATTTGATAATTTGAAATAAGTTGAGGATTCCGTAATAAAATGATATATTTATGGTACTCCAAGAAGTGGAAATTTGAATTGCTAACGTTTCGTGACTTTATTTAAGCCACTTTAGAGCAAATAAATAAATAATCGAATTAAACTAACTCGTCTAATTGATATAAACAAACAAGACAGTTCAAAATTAAAATAAGTCCGACTGTGTCAATGTCGTGTAAATTTTTCTTGGTCGAGATTCTGTGTAAGACATCACTGTGTGTATGGTGGTGGGTATAGACAATGTACAATTTGTAACATGCAGTAGAGTTGGAATTTTTGTGTATAAATTGTATAAGGAGTAAACAGAGTTAAATGCAGTTGTTTGGATAAACAGTTCAAATTGGATGAATAGTGATTTAATTTGTAAATTTTCCAACTCTATATGTGCTCCTTGGCACAAGTCGAAATCTCATGAGATTACAATTTAGAATGTATCACAATTAATATAGCGTAATTAGTAGATACAATTATGTAACGATATGAACAGGGTCTCTTCCTTAATTCGAACGAAAGCATTTCGAAGTGTTTGTTGTTTCATAGAAAGCTTTTATTCTGTACGTTTCCAAGATACTTTATAATTCTGTCGTACCATGGCAGTAAAGTAAAAATAAGGTACCAATACAAGATATTTCATTAGAATTGTTATTTAAAGATGGGTCGTTTTGTTTTAATAATATTTATAAGCAGATTACTAAGTCCCAAGATGTTTATTATGTTACGTTTTTCCTCTAGCTTACTTTTGAGATACTGAACTTGGTAGCTATTCTGAATAGAATCATAACTAAAGGGGATCTTTTCATCAAATGAATGTTCAGAGTTGAAGTCGATGTAATTATTCGAATGTGTCGATTTTCGGTGTTTAATCAAATTTAGATTTTCACTGGAATTCCTTCTAACTGAACAGTCTAAGAATGGTAGTCTACCATGTCCATTTTCTTTTTAAAAAAGAAATCTTATGCGTTCTGAGAGTGTTTATCGGTTTAGAGAAATTTCGAAGAAGAATCTTTTTAGTGATGATAAATGTGTCATCTACATATCTAAGCTAGATGCGTGATCCTTTTAAGTCAGTCAGTCAGTCTTGAGTGCTGTTAGAGGTATGATCCTTTTAAACACGAAAAGCGTTGAATTCAAACATGATTTGAAGGATTTCATGATTGATGCTTGGTAGACATCTACTGGTTAAAGTATTATCATAATCTAGTAAATTGTCAATAAACCCCCAAATGCCATGGTACGGCGGAGATTGGAGAGAGTCCGCTCTCCCTCTCGAAATGCTCTCACATGGCCACGCGTATATAGCCTCTGCCAGGGAAGTACTACTCACTGCCTTCTCGTGGCGGGGGTGTTGTTTACGAAAATGAGAAGACGAAAAGCGAATGTCCGGCTCTTTAACTGGATCCCAAACCGATGGTGCACATGGGCTCCTGTATCCTGAAGGAACAAATGGCGTATGAACCAATCGTTGGTCACCGGCTACCTTGGGACTGAATCTCCTTACGATGCTCCACTGCCTTGTGGACCAGATCTTCAGGTCGAAGGCTCGGGGTGTGGCCCTCTAATAAAACCACCTGCTTCGGTCTGGGCACCCGGGCAGTATCGCAGCCCTCACACATATCTAATGAGATTTGTGTGGCGCATATGTATTTGGTGCCTCCTTGTACCAATATCTATGTGTTAAAATAAATAAATGAATAAATCGTCAATAAAGCCTAGATAACTACCTATTGGAATACATCATAGTCTACAGCTGTTTCGTTTTCTTTGATAAATAATTCCGAAATTCCTGACTTAAATTCATATGTGTCTTCAGTGACACTATGTAAGTTATTTTAAATTGGCTTCAGTATACTTCAGAAATATTTAGATCGAGCATATATTGGCGCATTTTTGTAGTAAACTATAGGCCCTAGTGAGATATCAGGTTTTTGGATTTTTTCGTAGTCTACAAAAATGTGGTGTAGTGTTTGATTTGGGATATAAAGTAAACCAAAAGTAAACACTTATAAAAAGCTTTATTTGTTTTAGAGGTTTGCTTGTCTCTGATTTAAGTTTATTTGTAACCATTTAAAGTTTTTTAAAATCAATTTCTAGATGTGATCCAGTAGATATATGTTCAAAGGCCTTATCCTCATAGTTGCTTTTATTCACGACCACTATTGATCTTGCCTTTATCAGCTTTGCTAATGACAATCGTTCCTTTTTTATGTTTCTCTTAATTTCTTCTTGCATGTCGACAGATTACAACCCGGATACTATGAAGGATGAGTTCTACCACCAATTAAGCG